TCCAAATGGTCAGGACCCCTTGGAGATGCTACTTACAAACAGCTCTGTTCCACCCCTACTGTTACTGCACTAGTCTGGACACTTGCCCTGGGCTTCTGGCTTCCACTGGCCCTCAGTCCCAACCAGCTGTTTTCCCTCAGTAGCCAGAGGGATTTTCCTAGTGCCTCAGTTGGATTGTATCAGATACTCTTGTTTCAAATCCTCTAGCATAGTAGAACTCTGCGTCATGATGGGAATGTTCCAGACTCTAGCCACCCAACATGGTCCCTCCCATGTGCCCATGGAGCCCTTGAAATGTGGCAAGCGTGAGGAACTGAATTTTTTTAAAATATATTTTTAATGTATTTCAACAACTGCATATAGCTAGTGGCTGCTGTGTGGGTCAGTGCAGCAGCTCCACAGGCTCTGTGGGTGATGTGGTCAGTGGCCCCCCCCAGATCCCGGGCCCTCACTGCTTCCCTGTGCTGGCCTCCCAGCTCTGACTCTCTGCCTGAGCCTGCTCTGCTCTTGCCAGGGCAGGCTAGAAATGTCACAGAATTAATGCCACCTCTCCCTGGCTGATGTTGCTCCACTGGTTAGAGCATCATCCCGTGCACCAGAGGGTCGCAGGTTCGATCCCTGGTCCAGGCTCATTCGGGAGGCAACTGATCAATGTTTCTCTCTCACATCAGATGTTTTTCTCTCTCTCTCCCTCTCCTTCTCCTTTCCTCTCTCTCTAGAATCAATGAAAAACATGTCCTTGGGTGAAGATTAAAAAAAACACAAAACGAATTGATGCCACTCCTGGCAACCAGTGGCTGGCAGGTGCTGGTGCATAAATGCTCCAGTGCCCTTGTCCCTCCAGTGGGGCATCTCTGGGGTGCATGGCCTGGGTTATCTCCCAGGGGTCCCCATAGGACTGACCCCATCTGCCCACCAGTTTCCTGCTCGCTTATGCGTCCTGTGCTGGCTCCTTCCCTTCCCTCTCTCACTTCCCCACTTCCTCCTGGGATAGCCTCCCACAGAAGCCACTTGGACGCGAAGCCTTGCCTTCAGGCTGCTTGTAGGGAACCCAGGCCGGCACTTACGACAGAATGCGGACTGTTCATCATGATCTGTGAGAGCCCCCATACTGCAGCTGGTTCCCTCTTCATTCCTGCTGTCCACACCCCCACAGTGTTCAGTTGCTCTTCCCCAGATGTGTGTGCCATGAACTCGGGGCTTCCCCACCACCTCCTGCCAACTCCTCACCCTCCCAGCCTCCATGCAAATGCCCAGCTGTGCAGAGGGGGCTTCCCTGACCGCCTTCTGTGCCAGCCATTGTTTCTGCCTCACTTACCTCTTCCTCCCCCCCTCCCTCTCCTTCCCTTGGTTACCTCTTGGCCCCCAGTGTCCAGCCCAGAACCTGGCACACAGTAGGTGCTTAGCAAATATTGGATGAACAAAGAAATGGCATGATGCCAATCAACGAACCCCAGGCGGCACCCCAAGAATGAGGAGTATTTTAGAAGGGAAGGTCTTTCCTCATTTTAGACTTCCATTCAAACATCCCTGCCTTGGGGAGACCTCCCCTGAGCACCCCAATGAAGGCTGCCCCTCTCTGTCAAATGCCAGCTTAATTTCCTTCACAGCACTTTACGCTCTGAAATTACTTCTTTCGATGGTCGATTCATTCATTTATTCAGTTTGCTTACTGGCTGTCTCTGTAAGGCTGGGGGTTTTGTCTTGGTCCCCACTGTATACCCAGTGCCTAGCACCTCATTCTGTGCAGACAGATCCCTCTCTCCAGCAGTGTTTTCTGCCTCCGTAAGTTTAATTGTTCCCATGTAAAAACCAGGACCTTGTGTTATAGTAGGCACTTAGACATTAACCAAAAGGGAGCGAGTGAATCAATCAGTCAGAGGCAGATATCTGATTAAGCTTACAGTCGCCAGGGGAGTCCACCCCACTGATGGGGGGCGGGAGCAGCTGGCGCGGGGGGGGGGG